GGGACCAGTATTTTAAATGCTATGTTAAACTGTCAAACGCTTATGTAATTTTCAAAGTTAGAGTTCTTTATATTTTTATATTTATTTATTTATTTTAAAGTTAGAGTTCTTTAATGGCTATGAAGAGTATTAAATCATTTCAGTACTTTTCGGTGTGCTTGACAACTTGTTTTTCTCCTACCTTCCCCGAACACATACACTTCCATACCCAGGCAGGATCAAGCATACAAAACAGGACCCAACTCAGAATTAGGAAGATGTGCGACTAGCAATAAAAATCAGTATGGGCTGAGTGAAGCCTTTCCCTCTTTGCTTCTCAGTTTCTCCAGGTATGAAAAAGGAGGGACGAGAATCCCAGAACTCAGGAGGCTGAGGTGGGAGAACTGCTGTGAGCTCAGGGCCAGCCTGGGCCACAACACTGAGTTCAAGGACAGTGTGAACTATAGTTTTGGACTTTGCCAGTCTAACGTATTCAGATGGCGAGGGCTGAGGGTATAACTCAAGTGGAGCATGTGCAGAGCATGAGTGGCTCAGTGCCAGACCCAGTGCATCAAAAAAAAAAAAAAAAAAAAAAAAAAAAAAAAAAGACTATGAGTGTAAGGGAGTGCCTGTTCACATTGTAATTTTTTTTAATATTAGGGATCAAACTCAGGACCTTCGGCTTGCCAGGAAGGCATTTATCCACTGAGCTGTCTCCCTGGCCCAGTGTAATGGATGTCTTTGTTTTTGTTTTGTTTTGTTTTTGGAAAAGATTAAACCCACAGATGCTCTACCACTGAGCTGCATCTGTGCAGATTAATTAATTAATTACAAGGTCTTGCTGAGTAGTTCAGGATGGTCTTGAACTCACTGTATAGCCCAGGTTGGCCTTGAATTCACAACAATCCTCCTGTCTTGGCTTCTCATATTTATTTTATTTTTGAGACAAGGTCCTACTAAATTATGCAGGCTTCCCAGTGCTGGGATTTTAAGTGTCTGCCACCATGCCTGGTTTATCGTGTTCTGTGTCACCCACCACCCCATACCTTCCCATTGAACTATATCCCGAGACTTTAAAAATGTTTAAATTTTGAGACAGGGTCTTGCCACCTTGCTAAATTGTCCAAACTTGACTTGAACTTTCTTGCCTCAGCCTCCCAGAAGGCACAACCTTTCAGATTTTCTGAGTTTCTTCAGTGCATTGAAACTAGAACTTGGAGGGCTGGGAATATAGCTCAGTGGCATAAGCACCTGCCTGGCAACCACAAGGTCCTAAGTTCAATTCTTGGTACCAAAACCTAAATAACTTAGAACTTAGGTCAGGCATGGTGGCATATACCTATGCTTGAGGCAGGAGGATTGCCATGAGTTCAAGGCCAGCCTACACAAAATAAACCAACACCAAACTATGACTTGGATTTACCAAAATCTGGTTACTATATTTTTATTATTAATATATGTACCTAAAATTTCCTAGATAAGTTTGATGTGTTAGGTGCCACTTATTCAATATGCCAGGCATACATGAAATGCCTTTAGGGATTATCTGATTTAACCATCCCAATAAACCCATGAAGTTAGCTATCCGTATTGTCCTCATGTTCCAGATAGGCAAACCAGCTCCATGGCTGCCTGTGCAGCTTACCTAAAGTCACTGACATGCACAATGGCAAGACTGGAGCACAAATTCTCTTCATATCAATCTGGTTATGGAACGCACTGTTAACGCCATGACTCCTGGGTGGCCACCTAATCCAGGAGGCTCTCATCGGTCTTTTTTTTTTTTTTAATTTTATTTGTTTGTTTATTTATTTATTTATTTATTTATTTATTTTGTGTGTGTGTGGCCAGCTCAGCCCACCAGGGGGTGGGGCTGGCTGGCATGTGGTGCTGGGGAATTGAACCGCGGTCCTTGTGCTTTGCTTAGATTAGCTTGTTCTAAGTAGGTGCTTTAGACCACTGAGCCATCTCACCAGCCCCACATGGTCTTTCTTATGATGACCCATGGTCCTGTGTGCCACCTGCTTTCCCAGATGGGGTGACTGATTGTTTCAAATCACCTATGAATGCTAGGATAAGCAAAAAAAAAAAAGGCACAAACTTGCTTTGAACTCTTAGTTTGGTTCTTGATGTTCATTTATTGTCCAAGTCTAGCAGCATACACAGTGAGATATGACATTATTTTGCAACATATTTTTGAGATGGATTTGTGTTGTTACTTTGCAACATATTAAGGTGAAAATGACATCCGGAAAATATTAAGGTTAATTTTATGCATATAAAGTACACTTCCTGAGTTTTCATACATTATTTTTACTTTCATAGTATGAAATAGGCAAGATAAGGATTATTTGCACATTTTGCAAATGAGTCACAGAAAAAGGAAGTGGCTTGCTGTCAGCTCCTGAGTTGGCTGGAAGATATGTTCAGTGTTCTGTCTACGCTAAGCCACCTCTGTACCATAAAAAGGAGTCCCTGTGGCCATAGTCTGCAGTGGCACAGGCTCCAGTACAGTTACTGTGTGTCCTTTTTTTTTTTTTAATTTTATTTATTTATTTATTTATTTAGTGTGTGTGTGTGTGTGTGTGTGTGTGTGTGTGTAGCCAGCTCAGCCCACCAGGGGGCGGGGCTGGCATGTGGTGCTGGGGATTGAACCGCGGTCCCTGTGCTTTGCTTAGCTTAGCTTGTTCTAAGTAGGTGCTTTAGACCACTGAGCCATCTCACCAGCCCTGTGTGTCCTTAAAAGGAGTTCAGGTACTTCCGGACGGACAGAACCAAATGACTGCTATTCTGCAGGCTGTGTGTGCCACGCTGCACACAGGGGTTCCCGTATGAATAACCACCTGCGACCAAGGACCAGGACACAGAGCCAGCCACTGCTCTGCTCACACCTGTGCAGTGTGATAAAGAAAGGAGAATTCGTGTGCAGCTGTGGCCCACCCAGATAAAACTTTTAGGCGGGAAGTCAAGTGACAAGTGAACATGTGTGTGTGGGTTTTTTTTTTAAAGTGTTGTTCTTGATATTTTCAACAAGCTTTTAGGCTGCTTGTAGAAGCCAGACCATATACTAGGAAGGTACTGCAGCAAGATGGACTTGGGAAAGGATCAGTCTCATTTGCAACTCCATCAGACACCTGACCGTCGTCAAAGAGAGACCTTTGGTCCAGGTAAAGAAAGAAACCTTCAGAGTGGTAGCTGTTGGGAGGAACTGGGGCTACGATTATTTTCTTCTTTATGGATCTGGCAAAGAAAAGGGGGTGGGGAGGCAAAATTGAGAACATTTATATAACTTTAGGTGGGAAGAACAGGCTAACCGCCTGCAATGCCTTTTCGTGCTAAAATTCTAATAAGCAGAGAAACACAGGTGATAATAAATTATTAATAAGATATCCATTTAAATGAAAGATAATGAAAATATGCCCTTATACTTCTGTGGCAGCATAAATGTGGTCTACCTTTTGGAAAGTGATCTGGGACTAGGTGGGAAGAACTATTGTAGGGCTTATAGTTTTTATTCCTAATCACAGTCCTGACATCTGTTCTAAAGTGGCATTATGTAAAATGTTTTGCAGAACCTGAGGCCTTGAGATACCCTAAGATAATGTTTTAAAATTTTTGGCTTGAAGGATCCTACTGGTATTCTGATGAGGCCTAGATTCCTACTTAAAATAAACATTTTAAATATATAAAATTAAGTACACATGATCACAAAGGAACTAATTACATTAATAAACAAAATACAAACATTAAAATATAGTAATACATGTTTATTTATAGATGTACTAAATAATAAGATATAGTGGTGGATCTAATAATTGTGTTAAATCAAATAAATTATGTCTAATGTTATTTTAAGGGATCTGAAAGAATATATGAGCAATATATGAAAAAAATATGATTTCTTTGGTAATAAAGTCACATAGTACTAGAATCACTGTGATTTGTTACCTACATTCATAACTGCAGGAAATGATGATTTTAATCAGAAGTTGGTAAACATAAAGATATAATTTCTTCCCTATTAAGAATCCTAGTCCACCTAATTAAATGTATGAAGAATTATGAGATTATGTGAAAAAAATTCAAAGAAACATTTGAAGTAAATATTCAAATGATAAAAAAAAAAAAAAAAAAAGAATCCTCGTCCAGGGGCCGGGGAGATGGCTCAGTAGAATAAGCGCTTGCCTGGCAAGTGCAAGGGGCTGAGTTCAATCCCCGGTTCCAAAAAAAAAAAAAAGAAAGAAAGAAAGAAAAAAAGAATCCTAGTTCCTTAATAACATTAAGTGAAATTAATCCAGCACACAAGCTTATGTATTGCCCGGTTTCTCTTATATGAGAACCCCAAAGCAAAAATTTAAAGAGCAGAAAGACAGACATATTGGACACAGAGGACAGATTTACAGCTGGGTAGGGGACCAAGAGCTGGAGGAGTGAGGTGGGAGGCGAGGGGCAGGGGAAGTAAAGAGAAGTAAGGTGTGTTATGTACACGTGCCAGCTCCCCACGATGAGGATAATCATGACACACTGTCAGTGTGTACTAATAAAAATTAAAAATTAAATAAAAAACAAAGAGATAAACAAAGATAAGATGAAAATGGAAAAGAAAAAAAGAACCCTTGTCCTCAGCACTGCACAATGGCACATGCCTGTGATCCCAGCTATGCTGGAGGCTGATGCAGCAGGCCTGCAAGTTCAAGCTTTCCTGGGCAACTTAGCAACTTAGCAATACCCTGTCCAGAACTGAAAAAAGTAAGGGGGGGGGGATGTGCCTCAGAGCGGATGCCTTGAGTTCAATCCTCAGTAGAACCTTACTCTAAGAAAAAAAGATGCTGTAGTGGAGATCCGCATCACTCCACAGGCTCTAAGAAGTTCTTTGTGGATGACCCATCACTCTTCTCAAACTCAGATGACAGAAGAAACTTTTGGATAATACTCTGGGGTTGAGCATAGAGGTACTCTACTACTGGGCTACATCCTGTTCCACTTTTTAATTTGAGTCAGGGTCTCCTTAGTTATCTAGGCGGGCCTTGAGTTTGTCATTCTCTAGCTTCAGCCTACTGCGTGCCTCGGATTACAGGTGTGGGTCATCTCATTTGACTTGATAATACTCTTAATATTCTAAAGAATTTGAAGAAACACCATGCTAAGGGAAAAATTGGAAAGAGAAAAAAAAAAGCTATGTTCATTTTTTTTTTTTCATAAGCAAGGCAAAACATGATTATGGCAGCCTAAGTGCTCAGCACAAGCGACTGGGTAAATAAGAACGTACTGGCTATGGGGGCCGGGGATGTAGCTCAGTGGCATAAGCACCTGCCTGGCAAGGTCCTGAGGAAAAGGAAAAAAGAAAGAAAGAAAGAAAGAAAAGAAAGAAGAGAAGAAAAAGAATGCACTAGCTAGAGTAAGTACCATGTGATGAGTAAAATCATAGTTATGAAAACCATCTCATGAGAAACATTTCTGATATCATGTAAGGTCAAAAAAATTGTGGCATGCTATCATGACAACTTTGTGTGTATGGCCTGAATAGAGATGAGAAATAATATGAAACCAGGTTATTATGTTAAAAGTAGCAGCAGATGACCAGCCTGAGGGACATGGCAATATAGTGGTGACTCAGTTCATGAACTTAATTCTTTCCATGATTCTGGTCTCAAACGAAATTGGATGAGAACCAAATCAAATTCAATTGATAGGTTTAGTGTTGAATGTATATGAAATTAATAGGTTGGTGGTACACTAATGTATAAATACCATGTCTAAATAGGTATTTTTTACATCCAAAAATATTTACTAAATATCTGCTCTAGATTCTTGTCTGGAGGCATCAGGATACCCGGAGACATAAGGATATGGCCTTTATCTTCAAAAATCGAGGACAGAATCCCAGCTTAGGGATCCTACCTCTTGGCAATAGGATCCTTCTGCTGACCAAGGCCACAGGTCACCTCTGCCTCCAGTAACTTTCTTTTCCATCCTACAGAAATCATTGGAACTTGGAGTTTGCGGAACCGAGAACAACTCAGAAAAAGAAAAGCTGAAGCACAAGAAAAGCAAACTTCACAATGGGCATTTGGGTATGGTATATCACCCGGGGAAAGGAACTAATATCTATCCAGTGTAGATTATGTGGTGAGCGGAGCTGCTATCTTTGCACCAATCCTATGAATCAAGTGCTGTGATCTCTGTTTTACTAAAAAGAGAAACTAATCTCCAGTGAATTAACACTCCTGCCTAAAGCCACAACAGTAAAGTGTGCAACAGAATTTCATCCCTGGTCTCTTAATTAAAGCACCAGGAAACCAAATGATGTGGTGGAGAAGCCTAGCGTGTGGCTACCCGGGTCATATGTGTGTAGACATGCACACATCTTGTTAACAGCTCACTGTGGAGGAGCTTCCCTTCTGAGCTGAGAAAATAAGCAACTTGCTCACTATGATTTCCTCAGCTCAGAGTAACCACCAATGAACACTTTGAGAGTTCCTAAATCGACCACCGATGTTACCAATATAAACCCAGGGAGGGAGTATGGTATGGTATGGTATGGTATGGTATGGTACAGTATGGTAGGGTATGATATGGTATAGTATAGGTGGGCAAATCACTCCCATTTCACAACTGTTTTACAAAGCACTCTTCAAATATTTTAAATAGTTTTTTAACCCTTTTTTGAGATGGGTTTCTGTGTTGCCCAGTCTAATCTCACACCCTTGGAATCAAGAGATCCTTCTGCCCCAGTCACCCATGTGCTGGGACTATGGGCAGGCACTGTGCCCAGCTTGTCCTCTAAAGAAAGTGCATCCTTCACTCCCTGCCAGAACAGGGCTGTCTGTTCTGCTACCCCAGATGTTTCTGTAATTCCTGTTAGCTCATACATGATTGATAAAGAAGAAAATGCTGTCAATATAATGTGGCAGTGCATTTTCAGACTGGTTCATTTTCCTAATCAAAAGAACTGTGGGAACAGAACTAAAACCTGTAGTGGAAGAGTGAAGAGCTACTGCGTGGGTGCTATGAAAGCAGGATCCTTTCCAGCTTGCACCCAGGGCTCCCTCCCCAGAGAGTCGCAGGCCTTCAGAGCTCCACCCTGCGGCAGCTTGCACTTACTGCTATGCCCAGCTTAATGGCTCAGAGCCCAGGTCTCAGCGGCCTTGATTCTACAATGACACTGTTGCTTTTCTATATTTTTTCTTAGCTCCTGAGGAGGACTCCAGCCATCAGAGATTGCTCTCTAAATGTTCATGTCGAAAGGGTGTACAGGTTTTCAGTTGTTTTTCCGAAGTCTATCCCCCACCAGCCCTATAACCACTGTTACTTTTTAGTGCATGATTTTGCAGAAAGTGAGATTTTTCAGGAATACAACTGTGATTTTATAGCAGAAACTTCTGTACTAGGGTCCTGTTAAGGATTATCCAGTTAGCTTCCCCACTATACCCACTGAGCGACCTTCTGATGGCTACTGGTTTCCCACAGGATATGAGTGGATTTGTGTACTTTAGACTCATTTGCCATCCTAAGCTCTTTCAGCTATGTGATTTTGTACTTCTCACTGTTCATTTAAAAATAGGTCTTTAGGTTTAACTGTCGGTCTTACTGAGCATTAGCCAGTGAGCTCTGCCCCTGCTGAACAGAGCGAGTGTTGCTGTGCTCACAGAATTGATTCTCCAGGCTTACTGAGCTGAGGGCACAAGGCCGAGGAATTCTCTGTGAGCGTGGCAGTTGGCTAGACTTACTCTGGTGATGTTCTCTATGCTGAAACCTAGGCCTTCTTTTTTCATCACAACACACATACATAATGAAACCTTAGTGGTTTCAGAGAGAGGGAAGCATAGTTTAACAGTTCAGAAACCGGTGGACTGGCCAGCTTGATTAGATATGAAGGTTAACTTCCTCACGTCCTGGTAATTCACCTGGGGGGAGTTACTAAACTTCTCTGTGTCTCAGTTTTGTCATCTGCAAAATGGAGATAATAGTAACTACCTCGTGAGTTGACAGTGAGATAGCAGAAGTTAGTTACGGACAATAGTGCCAGACACAGAAGGACTATAAATGTTCCTATATGAACATGAGAGAACTAATTTTACTGGATCTGAATGACTCATCCATGTTGTTATTTGTCATTCTTACAACAGCCACGTGAAGTTGGGCAGCTATTACTTACTACACGTAGAGAAGCCAAGGTGGTAAGGTCTTGCCCACCATCACGAGAGAGTAAAGACTAGAGGTTAGGCCATGCCAATACTTTTGTATTGTTTTGGAAACTGGCAGGGAAGCCAAGGACCATTATATTACTCAGATCTCATAAGGAGACCTATATAACAAATTATCTAATGATTCATATCTAGGGAGAAATAAGTGTTTCCTGAAGAATTCAGATATATCTTTAAACAAACAAACAAACAAACAAACAAACAAACAAAAAACAACAAGCCAGTGATATAGCACAGGGGCGCAGTGCCTGCCTTGCAGGTGTAAAGTCCTGATTCGATTTTGGGTACCACCATCACCACCAAACAAAAAACCATTAATAGAGCTTTTTTTTTTTTTTTAATTTTATTTATTTGTGTGTGTGTGGGGGGCAGCTCAGCCGACCAGGGGGCGGGGCTGGCTGGCATGTGGTGCTGGGGATTGAACCGCAGTCCCTGTGCTTTGCTAAGCTTGTTCTAATTAGGTGCTTTAGACCACTGAGCCATCTCACCAGCCCCTAATAGAGCTTTTTAATTTGTCTTGTTACCTTAGTTACTTGGAGCAATAGTTAAAAATTCTGAGGTGCTAGAACATTATCTTCAGATTTCTTTCTTCTGTAGGATTTTAATATTTATTATTATTTAATGCTATAAACTAAACATTTATATTGATAAAATACTGATATATTTATATTTTTCTTGTTTAGTTTTTTACTGTTTATATATGTTTTATCCCTGATTTTTGGTAGTACTGAGGATTGAGCCCAGGGCTTTCCCACTGAATTACATCCCAGCCCTTTTCCATTTTTTACAAATTTGAGATCTGGACTCAAACTAGTGATCTTTCTGCCTAAGCCTCCCAGACTTCTGGGATTATAGGCATGAGCTACTACACTATATAAATGATCTTGACTTCAAATTGTTTTTTTAGTGAAGTAATCCTTAAAACTTTTTATTATGAAAAATTTCAAACATTCACAAAAGTCAAACAGTGTAGATTTTTAAAAAGTGTGTAAAGAATTATGAGCACTATAAAGAGTCAAGAAACAGTGGTTTTTATCTCCAAAAAATAGTTTACTAAAAGAAATACTCTCTCTCCAAAAATAACTATAGTATTACAAGGCAGCCTCTGTGCCTTACCTTAAGTCATGTTACAATAAATTTCAGAGTACACTGATATAGAGCCTTCTAAGGATGAGTGCCTATCATGCAACTCAAAACCCACCTATTTATCTCAAAGTGCCAATGCCACAATGAAACCTGAACAGTTTTTTAGCTTAGAAAAAAAGCTATACATTAACATCTTTTGCCTTAAAAGAAAACAACATGCATGCCACAGGCGTGCCACGACTGCCGTAGGAGTGTAAGCAGTGAGACCATTTCAGTCTTGTGGGCTGTTAGAGAAGGCTCCACGCAGTGGGTAGCATGGAGCAGAATTTCAATAGGTTTAGAAAAATGATGAAATGTTTATTTATGGTACCTTCCTCCCATCCCCCTAGCCCATCTGTATTAGCCATCTGTATTTAGTTATATTTGCAGTGCCTACAAATTTGTCATTGGCTGCAATTTGCATGTATCTTATTTCATCTTCTAGATCTTTATTAATTGGGTATACTAGTGTCACTCAAGCCTTTCTAACCTTTTTGAGATTTTGCAACCTCAATAAATAATTTTTTTGCAGCTTTTTTTTTTTTTTTTTTTTTGGTCTTTTTGTGACAGTTTTGCTATGCAGTTCAGGTTGGCCTTCAGCTCACTTCGTAGCCTAGGCTGGTCTTGAACTCAAAATGATCCTCCTAGCCTCAGCCTGTTGAGTGCTGGGATTACAGGCATGTGCTACCATGCCTGGCTTTATGTAGCTTTTGACCCAGTTTACAGTACATCTCATTTGACATATGCTATGCCTACTTCATATTCCTTAAAGGAGACACTGTATCAGGCAAGCAAGCCATATATACCATCCTCCTGCAGATCACACAGAGAACCCATGCCTATACTGCAGATCACACAGAGAACCCATGCCTACACTGCAGATCACACAGAGAACCCATGCCTACACTGCAGATCTAGAAACTCAGCTGGATCAGTTCACCCAGGGGGTAGTAGGCTACCTCACTAACCTCAAAGAGATGGAGGTCACAGACCAGAATGTCATCTATTCATTCATAAAGGAATGGCCAATGCTAACACACACACACACACACACACACACACACACACCCCTCTGGTGTGCAAGGTGTCAAAAGTCAAAAAGTCCTGGAGGAACATTTCCTCTCCTAACAATTGAGAACATCTACTAAGAACAATAAGGAGACTGAAGTCTACAGAGATTAAGGGACTTGTCTGAGGAGGTGTAACAAAGCAATGATGTCTTGGAACTGTTTTTTTTTTTTTCGGAACCGGGGATTGAACTCAGGCCCTTGTGCTTGCCTGGGAAGCGCTTATTCCACTGAACCATCTCCCCAGCCCCTTGGAACTGTTTTTAGAAGCATTTATTTGAATTCTGTAGCCCCGCTGCTGACACTAATTCTGATCTCTTTGTAGAGAACAGAAAAAACGCAAGTGGCAGAACACAGGAAGAGGAAATCAAAGAGGCCAGAAGAGACAACAAAATGCAGAGCCAAAGAGAGAGTCCCAGTCACAAAGAGCAAAGGAAATTGTGGAGAAAGCATCGGTACCTACAGAGAAAGAAAATGAGCCTCC